AGGAGAATGGCCAGACTGGTTCGAGCTGATAGAAGGGCAACAGTGACTGAAATAACCACTCGTTACAACCGAGGTATGCAGCAAAGCATTTGTGAAGCCACAACACGCACAACCTTGAGGCGGATGGGCTACAACAGCAGAAGACTCCACCGGGTACCACTCATCTCCACTACAAATAGGAAAAAGAGGCTACAATTTGCAAGAGCTCACCAAAATTGAACAGTTGAAGACTGGAAAAATGTTGCCTGGTCTGATGAGTCTCGATTTCTGTTGAGACATTCAGATGTTAGAGTCAGAATTTGGCGTAAACAGAATGAGAACATGGAACCATCATGCCTTGTTACCACTGTGCAGGCTGGTGGTGGTGGTGTAATGGTGTGGGGGATGTTTTCCTGGCACACTTTAGGCCCCTTAGTGCCAATTGGGCATCGTTTAAATGCCACGGCCTACCTGAGCATTGTTTCTGACCATGTCCATCCCTTTATGGCCACCATGTACCCATCCTCTGATGGCTACTTCCACCATGTCACAAAGCTCTATTCATTTCAAATTGGTTTCTTGAACATGACAATGAGTTCACTGTACTAAAATGGCCTCCACAGTCACCAGATCTCAACCCAATAGAGCATCTTTGGGATGTGGTGGAACGGGAGATTCGCATCATGGATGTGCAGCCGACAAATCTGCGGCAACTGTGTGATGCCATCATGTCAATATGGACCAAAGTCCCTGAGGAATGCTTCCAGCACCTTGTTGAATCTATGCCACGAAGAATTGAGGCAGTTCTGAAGGCAAAAGGGGGTCCAACCCGTTACTAGCATGGGGTACCTAATAAAGTGGCCGGTGAGTGTATAATTCAATGTTAGGCTGCATAGATTAGGTCAGCCGGAACTGGGAACACTTCCCTTAAATCCTGATGTACTGATTGCCTGATGTACTGATTGCCTGATGCAATCAATCTCACCACTCTATTTATACTTACCGCTGTTCTATCATCCTTGTCAGATCATTGTTTGATGTCGTCCGTGTTGGTGTCCAGTTCCTGCCTTGTGTTCCTGTTCTTCGTCTTCGTCGAGTGGTTTCAACTGTCGTCTCACCGTCACCTCATCACTGCACTTCATCACGGATCCTGACCATCGAAGTCCCTGCGTCACCTTTCACATCTGCTTGTACTGCGTTCCCTGAACTTAACTTGCATTTGCTTTCTGTCGTTCATCTTAAAGATATGACAACTATCCTCTCCCTATGGAGGATCCCTTTCCCACTCTACAGATAAAGCGTTGTTGAAAATCCGGTTCGCGTACCCCGTAGTGATAAAATAAAACAAAATTCTTTATCAAATGTATAGGCAAGACAAGTAGTTTGTTTAGGCATGGTTTGTAGGGAAATTCCAAACCTGCGCACATATATTCAAACGAATATAACTATAGAATCAATTTTTAATGCGCATGTGAACGCATGTGAACGCCATCAGGTCACAGGTTCGCGTTTAAAGTCTGTTTAGAGAGAACGCCGTCGCCTTAGTGGCCCCTAATGTAATAACAAATGATACTTTTGCTGGAAGTGAATCAATCAAAACTAACTTTAGCTGGAAATAACATTATTCAAAAATCGCTATAAAGCCAAAACAATCTCTTACCGTAAATTGTATGTTTATCTCTGTAAAGCTGCTTTGAAACAATCTCCATTGTTAAAAGCGCTATATAAATGAAGATGACTTGACTGGACTACTCGCAGCAGTCTCGCATGCGCTTTGAGCTCGTGTGAATTGCACGTAAAAAATGATGTTAACGAACAACCTCGATCCATCAGGAGGTCGCTGAATTTCACTGCGCTTCATGAAGAGTTTTTCTTTTGCGTGAAGAAGCCGTTCGCCGGAGATGTGTTAAAGATAGCGGAGTGCATTCATGATTATTAGGCTACCGGTATAACAATCTTCCTGGCGCCGGGTCTGAGTGAGTAATTTACTCTCTTATCATTCTTTGATTAACATAATGACACTTTAAGACCAGCCGCTGCTGACAGAGACGCGATCTGACACTCGTCCCATTTTCTCACAAATCTCTACGTTCATTTAAGACTTTATTTAAATAATTTAAGACTGATCTTATGAGGACACTCGACAAATCCGACATTTTGGATGTTAAGCGTGTTACGCTTTGTTCAAGCCCAAAAGAGAACTCGATACTGACGCGCATCTTTTCTATTTGTGTGTGTGTGTAATAGGCAGGACTTACAGCATGGTCTCTTTAGTCTTAAAAGCATTCACATTAATACGAGCGTGATCATACAACACTAGTCAACGGGTAACAGAAAAAAACGGATACTGCGTAATTGCGTTAATTATTATTATTTTTTTTTTGCGGTGCGCAAGTGATGAAACCGGTGTTGTGACTGAACACCGTGTAACACCGGTAACACCGACTACCGTAGCAATTCTATTATGTGTATGATATTGCATTTCTGTCCACAGACCCTCCTAAACACAATGCACCTTTAAATGATGACGTCATTGTAGTTCTGGTTTGTTTTGACATATCAGCCTAAATGACACAATTCCTGAATGCGTGTCAGCATGCAATATTTTCGTACCTCCAGCTTTAAAGCTTATAAAAAACAAACGTATTTTTTTGCTTGTAAACTTATCTTACTTGTAAATACAAGTATTTTCCTTAAATAGGGAAAGGAACACTGTCTAAACATATTCAGCAGTGAAAAAAACAACAACAAAAAAAACAACAGCCAATATTACAGTTTTTTTTACAATTGCTAGACACATTTCTCAATAGGTCACTTTTTTTTAAACTCTTCACTCGGTTCACCTTACCAACTTTCAGCTTGGTATAGCAGTTAATTTCACATTCAAAATGCACTAAAATGACCAAAACATGTCTCAAATTAAGTAATTCTTCCATAACACTAGCAAAGGTTGTCAAGTCAACCAACAAACTCACTTTGTCACTTATAAAACAATGACCTAAAAATGCTAACTACAGGCTGCATAATACAATGTTTGCTTTTGTAAAAATGTTTTACATTATGACACAAGAATTCACTGCAGTTTGTTACATAGTCCATGTTTACATTACAGTACCAAATTATTCCTAAGTCTTCCTCTTTTGTATAGATGGTAATGAAAGACTGAAAGATCTGTGTAGGTGTTTAGCTACATCAAATTGTTCTTATAGTTTTTTTTAATTTTTAGATTTGTAATATATTTCAAAATGATATTACTGTAGAAATGTAGCAAATTGCTGTCTTATTCAATTATGTATTATGTTAGGTTTTGAACTTAAGTTTTGAAAAGAATATAAACGTGCAATTTGGCCTGTACGTAGGCTATATAGAGTTTTGGTGGTGGTTGTGTCTAATTGAGAGATGTATTAATGTAATTTGAAAGATGTAGTCACTGAATGCATTTTGTGCCAAAGCAATGTTAAATAATCTTCAGTTTAGCCCACATAAACCCACTGTGTGAAGAGTTTTGAAAAAGTGACCTAAGTATTGAGAAATGTGCCCTAGCAATTGTAAAAAAAATATGTTTTATGAACAAAGTTCGGGAGGAACGCATTCAAATGATCTATCCAATCAGCATGAGATTAGGCCTATATATATATATATATATATATAGACTCATATGTTCCTCGACAGTTTTACTTGCATCCCTCCGCCAACCCCGACTCCTCACTATTGGCTGGTTCCTATCCCAGCCAGGGATACGGGGGGAGTACTCTTGGTTAGGACCATATTCTGAGCTCGGAGCCCTCCCATCAAAACAGCACGCCAAATACGCCTACTGATTAATTATTTTCTGATTATTTGTAAGTGTGAACTCGTGAAACTGTAGTCAATAACAAAACCCTGGAGGTGGAAGAACCAGAGAAAGTGTTCGTTCAGTACTTCTTTATGGCACAGTGATAGAAACATAGCTCCAAAAGAGGTTTTTGGTTATCTGTAAGGCAACCATCTGGTGATTCAGACTTGACAAATATTGTAGTACACTGTGGGTCGTTCAAAAACAGTATCCCCAACCACCTCAAATATACAGTCTTTGCCGGCCAGCAGTGGTACTTCAGTCAAAGGCACATTCTCCATGTTATGAGCAGTCTGGGTGTCCTGTTTAGCTTCATTTGCTTTTGCCTGACAAAAAGAAAGTCATATTCCATAAATAAGCTTGTGGTATTTTAAGATAACAAACTAAAGTTTAATCATGATGCTTGTAATAATATATAATATATATTTATAATAATAAATAATAATAAGTATAATGCTTATAACATGGGCTTGTCAGTGACATGTAAGAGTGTCCGCAATTTAAAAAATAAATAAATAAAAAGTTTAAAACACACTACCAAGTTATTAGAAATGTACTCTTTGCATTCATGGTGGTTTCATGTGTTTTTTGAAAAAAAGGAAAGAAAAGAAAAACATTTGTAAACATGTTTTTAAGGGGAAAAGTATTTTTTACAAACATCTGGAATAATAATTAAATGCCTTGTGATAAAGTTAAAAATTATGTGATATTTTAGGAACCTTGAGTTAAATCATAGTTTCTTTTAATATAATAATATAATATTAATAATCAGTGAAGAAGTTTTGTTCTAATGTAAAAATGAGTATCATGGCTCAAATGCTTTGAAAAGAAAATAAATGTTAATTTACCTCTCTGTCAGGTGGAAAGTCTTTTCGACACAAGTGGGCAATGATTCCAGCTGCCAGAGCATCTCCTAGTACGTTGATCATTGTTCGAAAGCGATCTCTTTAAACCAAAAGGGGTGGAAGACTTTACTGATCCTATCATCATTATTTTTGCCTCATGCATTGTTTTAATAATAATAAAAAATTACTCCACTCTGTATAAATATTTACTTTTATTAATATTTACTTTTATAATAGTTACTATTTATATTTAATTTACATTCTTATGATCCATTGAATTATATTACTCATGACACTGATTACAGCTTTTTTTCCAACAGTTAAATGTCAGTTATCTCAACTTACAAGATCCAATCAATGGCCACAATCAGTGTGATGTCATCCGGTGGCAATCCAACAGATGTCAACACTATCACCATGGTTACAAGGCCTGCCTGAGGGATTCCAGCAGCACCTATACTGGCAGCGGTCGCAGTTATACTGGAGAAAATCAGAATAGGATGATTATTATGATTTAACTCTGATTCCTGATAGAACTGATCAAATCAGATGAGTCTGTCTAGTTTCCATTAACTATTAAAACTAAGTTTGCACAAAACCTTTGTCTGTCTGTAGGGCAGTAACCACAATAGCTCTTTGGGATGCGTCCTCCCACCAATATTCCGTGGTCGATCAAAATAGGATTTGAAATGGCTGATTCTTACGTTTTAATTTTGTTTTCCCAATGCTGACTATATTTAGTTACATCTCTGCCGGTCTGCAAGTACCTGATGGTGACAAGCTGTCCGAAATCCAGTTCATACTCATTGACCTGAGCAATGAAAATAGCAGCAACTGCTTCATAAAGCGCTGTTCCATCCATGTTAATAGTGGCTCCCACTGGCAGCACAAACCGGGCAATCTGCCTGTCCACTCGGCAGTTCTCCAGCAAACATTTCATTGTAATGGGCAGCGTTGCTGAGCTGTGAAAAAGAATAAGATGCCTCACTCTTACAAGGCCTACTTCATTTAATGGAATTGGGACGAGCTATTTACACATTTTTTTGAGGAATTCATCTTACCTTGATGACGTGGCTAGGGCAATGACCATGGCTTGCAGAAGTCCTCTGATGTATGTGAAAGGATTTTTACGTGTCAAAATAAAATAGAAGAATGGAAGCAAGATGAGGCCGTGTACAAACAGGCCTGCGAGGACCGTCACCCCATACCAGCCCAGTTTCTTCCCAAGTGTGGAGGGATCACTCATGTCCAGGATTTTGCCAGCCACGAGGAAGATGATACCAAAAGGAAAATACCTGTTGAAAAATGCAGGGAAGAAGTTAAACAGTCTGGTAGGAATTAGTCGAATGATTCTCAAGAATGTGATTCTTTAAATGCCCATCATGTTGATGACTATGAAAACACCATTCGCAAACCTTTAACTTCTGTAATGTGATATTTTAAGAAAAACAGGATAATCAATTAAAAAAAAGTAGGAGGGTACTTTTTTGTCCATTAAAAGTTGAAAATCTTTTATTTTTTAAATTTACAGATGATTTGGGTTTTTTGATCTTTTAAAAATGATATTCGTTCACATTAAAATGTATATGTATTAAGGAAAGAAATAGGATCAATTCTGTTGACATTTCCCAGCTATACATGTGCTGATGGCATTGTTAGCCCTACACTACCCCAGCAGCATGGAGGAGTGTGTGACAGCTCTTAAGTTCAGGTGATCCATAATCCCTGCATGTGCCAAATGACAGCATCGCTTTAACACACCTTCATGATTGCAGTCGTTATGCACGTGCCAGCCCAGCTGCATGCTTGGAAACTTCCTCTCAGATTCTTAACTTATTGAATCTCAGCCATCAAGCAAAGTATTCTGTAAAAACGTTTGTATTTTTAATTTTAAAGGGGTCATGAACTGCATTGTTTTATTGTTTTATAATGTTTCCTGGGGTGCACTTATAATGTTAGTATAATCTTTACATAAATTATTTTCATAATTTAGAAATAAAAGGCATTATTCCTACCCTGATTTTAGCCCTATTATTTGAACGCTCTGTTTTAAGGCAGTGTAAATGCCTACTGCTGTGATTGGCTAACAGCTTTTCATATGAAATGGCAAAGTATTACATGTGGAACCCTCTCGAAAACTGTTGGCACATTTTTACTATTACAGCTCTCAAGGTTAACTAATCATGAAAAGTGTTGATTATAGCATAATATTTAGATCTATGGTATTATATTTAGATAGTGGCATGAAAGGATAAAGTGATGAGCACTGTTAGTTATGATGAAAGCATTCGTTAGTGTGCAGAAATCGAGTTGCAATGACGAGATCACTGCATTTATGCGCTCAACATGTCTGTGATCGGCTGATCACAGACATGTTGAGCTAGTTATGATGAAAGCATTCGTTAGTGTGCAGAAATCGAGTTGCAATGACGAGATCACTGCATTCATGCGCTCAACGTGTCTGTGATCGGCTGATCACAGACATGTTGAGCGCATGAATGCAGTGATCTCGTCATTGCAATCATTGGATCTTTTGGAAGGAAATGTTGTTTTTAGTCCTATATCGCCCTTATCTACTCTTCATCTCACTAACACCCCAGTGGCAACCTTGGCGACGATGAAGTAGGCGTTCATTTTCTTTTGCAGCAACGGTCTTTTACCTATCTATAAACACATTCCACAAATAGCACATTCCACAAAGAGTCGTTCGCTGGGCTTGGTCACAATAAAAGCTGTTTATGGACTAACAAGCAAGTTTTCCGTTCTGAAACTTACAGGATATTCTTATAGTATGATGACATCTTATATGTCAAAAGCTCAAAGAAATTTGATTTCTCGGTTCATGACCCCTTTAACAACAGTTTTGTATGGAATTACAAAACTGTAAAGTGAACCTTTAAAAAAACTCTGCTTTCTTTCTTACCATACAGCAGCATTAATGATCTTCATCACACATTCATTGATGCACTGGCAAACGTTCACCAGAGGAGCTCCCCGTTCGCCCATTTTACCAAGTAAGAGACCTAAAGGAAAAGCCCTTTGTTATATTTATGCTTTTTATCATGATTTTACTAAATGAAGATACTTTATTAGGTGAAGGCAGATGTTTTACCCATTGTGGCTGAGAAAATAACAATGCCGAGTACATTCATCTGCTGACTGCTGCCTGGACGGGTCTTATACTGGATGTCTGGAGCTGGCGTAAGTTCCAACAGCATCGTTCGACCCTTCCGATTGTCGTCATCTGGCATCAAGTAAACAAAATTTGGGCGTCCAGTGTTCACTGGTGTTTTTAAGATGGGAATAAGGTCTGTCTTATACTGAAACAACAAAAATAGGTTTTGCATTTTCATAAAAAAATGTGAGTGATGTTCATTGTTCAATCCTTGGTATAACAATTTAGTCAATATTCTAGGTGATATATAAATGTAGCCACATGTAAATATTCTTTTTTTAACACCTTGCAAAACGGTTGCTAGGGAGTTGCTAGGCAATTGCATACTGGCTCAAGTAAAAAAAACAAACAATTTGCCACATGATTTGAGGTCAAAGGCTGTATATATACCAAAACAGTTCACTCATATTACTATGAATGAGAGAAAGTGGTATGCAATTTGGTAGAAAACGTCCCGCCTTCTAAATAAAAATCCAGTCATCAGTTTGTAAAGTAATCGCATCACTGCAGCTGAATCTCTGGTTAGGACTAGGCACTTAGGACTGCACAGGCGCATTGGCTGGAAAAACCTTGAATGCACACTTTAATAATGCTACTTAAAAATAAGAAATAACATTTATGGAACAGTTCATGTTCATGTAGTAAGTATTTTATGCACAAAATAGCTGTTTGGAGACATTGCAAATATGGCCACCAAGTGAACATCTCGGTTACCTATGTAACCCTCGTTCCTTGAAGGAGGGAACGGAGGTCTATGTAAACGTACCGACGTATTGGGATCGTGTCAGAGAGCCCCAATCATCCTGAGTATGAACAGAACGAGCAAATGCACATTGGCTTGCGAAATTTGAATCTCGTGCTCCGGCCCGAAGCGTTGGTATAAATAGGAAGCGGATGCAAGCACCAGTTGTTTTTCACTGAGGAGCTGAGCAGGAGCCTGGCGTCAGTGGTGGTCCAGCAATGGTGGCGACGGGACGTACGTCTCCTTTCCCTCCTTGAGGGATGGGTTACATACGTAACCGAGTGGGTTACATACGTAACCGAGACGTTCCCTTTCAGTCGGTACGTTCTACGTACATAGACGTACTGACATATTGGGATCTCGTAAAACGCCACCTATTGCTGCTCCCTTCCAGCGCCCAGCATAAGCTTCCTGATCCCCTCGCACCTTGGGGAGGAAGATGGGACAGGACTTACGCCGAGGAAGTCTTACTGCTGTTCCGCATGACCCATTCAGTCAGACTATTAGATAACAAAGAACTGCTACGCTCCGCTACGTCCGACTGCCGGAGGGTGTGGAGGAACTCAACAGGGTTCGCCTAAGGAACTCACCTGGAGCAGAAATGGCGCACATATCCGGTCCATAAGAGGGCAATGGCGCAGCAAGCCGACACTTTGAGTGTTTACTGGCTATGGGATGCAAGTACGGGAGGATACAGGCTCGACCCGAAGGCTATAAAACCTAACGAAACGTGTTAGATGTCACCCAGCCCACACCTCTACAAATATCTGTCAGTGAGGCACCCAGTGCCAGTGCCAAGGAAGAAGCAACACTCTTAGTGAAAGAGTAGGGGTGTAACCCCGGCATCCTGGCCAAATTTGCCCAGTGGCCTCTGTCAAAGTCAAAGTCAAATTTATTTATAAAGCACATTTAAAACAACTTCTGCTGACCAAAGTGCTGTACATATGAAATCAGTTAATCAGAATAAAATAACAAATAATAAATACAATAGAATATAAAACATAAAGTAGTGGAACGGCCAATGTAACCTGCTTATTCAGTGTTGAAAGCTATAGAGAACAGGTGTGTTTTTAGCCTGCATTTAAAATGATCTACGGATTGTGCAGATGTAACATGAAGTGGTAGGCTATTCCACAGCCGTGGTCCTACCACTGAAAAGGCTCTGTCCCCTCGAGTGGCGAGCCTAGTTTTAGGGACAGTCAAAAGGAGCTGGTCTGCTGACCTTAATGCTCTGGCAGGAGTGTAAGGGAAGGGTACAGCATATCAGAAAGATAAGGTGGCGCAATGTTAGTCAAACATTTAAAGACTATTAATACAATTTTAAAATGCACTCTAAAAGTACAGGGAGCCAGTGTAATGAGGCCAGCACGGGGGTGATATGATCCCTTTTTCTTTTCCCTGTCAGCAGCCGGGCAGCCGCATTTTGTACCCCCTGGAGGCGGCGAAGAGAGCGTCGTTCGAGTCCGCAGTACAGCGAATTACAGTAGATGCGATGTCACAAAGGCATGGACTGCTCTCTCCAGATCTTTCTTAGGGAGATAGGGCTTGATTTTACTAAGTAGTCTTAAATGATAAAAGCTGCTTTTCACCACTGCACTGACCTGTTTGTCAAACTTAAAACCACAGTCAAAAAGCACTCCTAGATTTTTTGTGCTTGGGCGAGAGAATGAAACTAATGGGCCAATGGCACTGTCCCAGCCCTTCAGACAGTCTGTTTGCCCAAAGACCACAATTTCAGTTTTGCTTTTATTAATACTTAAAAAGTTTGAGTCCATCCAGGACACCACCTCCTTAAAGGTTCTCTAAGCGATCCTGGGTGACGTCACTTCTTGTTGACGTTCGAACTATTGTCAAACAAAACGGAGGCTAGCTAGACCCTCCCTCCTCCTCATCCGCACACTAGCCCCCCAAACCACACCCCCAAACCCTTCTTGTCGGTCATTGGCTGGAACAGTTTGTTATGTTTTGGGGAGCGGGTCGCTGCAGTTTGTTTTTGGTGCTGTTTGTGAAGCATGGGCTGTCTACAGAGATCGCGTTTCTTTACAGTGTGTTCAGGGGACAGGCAGCCAGCGGATAGTGAGGAGATGTTTGCTGTATGTGACAAAAAATGTTTTGGCCTAAAAAACACATGACATCGCTTAGAGCACCTTTAAGACAGTCCTGTAGAGTTTTGATTTCAGAAAAGTAATTTGTGCTCAGTGGGAGGTAGATTTGTATATCATCCGCAAAACAATGAAATGCCACATTGTGCTTCTTAAAAATGGACCCAAGCGGAAGCATGTACAGTGCAAATAAAACAGGGCTTAAAATTGCACCCTGAGGCAGGCCGAAATTTAGTGGAATTATTGAAGAGGAGTGCTCGTCGAGATGAACTGAAAAGCTTCTGTTGGATAAAAATGATTTAAACCACTGAAGGGCAGTACCCTTAATACCCGCATAATGCTCTAGACGAGATAAAAGTGTGGCATGGTCCACAGTATCGAATGCGGCTGTTAAATCTAAAAGCACCAGAACAGTAGATTTGCCTGAATCAGCAGCTAAAAACAAATCATTTAAAACTTTTAGGAGGGCTGTTTCTGTGTTATGCCGGGGTTTAAAGCCAGATTGGAATAATTCAGTGATTCCATTCTCATCAAGGTGAGACTGTAGTTGGTCATATACAACTTTCTCCACAATCTTAGACAGGAATGGGAGTTTAGAAATAGGTCTAAAATTTGATAACACTGTGGGATCAAGGTTTGTTTTTTTCAACAGGGGCTGGACCACAGCATGTTTGAATGCAGCCGGGAAACAGCCAGACAACAGTGAAGAATTAATAAAATCCAAAATGAGAGGTCCAAGTGTCGGGAATACCTCTTTAAGGAGGCGTGGCGGGATAATGTCAAGTGGACAGTTTGAGGGCCTCAGCTGCTGAACAACTTTAGTTAAAAAAGACAGAGACACCGTCTCAAAATGATCAAACACAACAGCACATGTAGAGAGTATCTGAGGCTCAGACACACAAGGAGTAAGAGAGGACCTGACAGTACACACTTTCTCATAAAAAAACAAAATAAATTTTTCACATGATTCGGTTGATGATTCAATGTCACCACAATCACAAGGGTTTAAGAGGAAATTTAACATTTTAAAAAGAAACTGTGGCTTATGGCTGTTACTGGAAACAAGATTAGATAAAAACTGAGTCTTTGCAGCTTTAACAGCTTTCTGGTATTCCGCCAGACTGTTTTTTAATATTTCATAGGACACTTGCAGACGGTCCTTTTTCCATTTCCTCTCAGCGCGTCTACACGCACGTCTGTATGCGCGCGTGGTTTCATTCAGCCATGGCTCGGATGCTGGTTTAGGCTTTTTAATTCCCAATAGGGCTATTATATGCACGTCGAGTTAAAAACACCAAGCCATTGATCAATATTTAGATCGTCAGGGTGACTCATGTGAGGCAATGAGTCATTAAAAGCAACTGAAAAGCGCGAGGCAGTCTGGCTGTTCAGCCTGCGCACCCGGCGCGCTGGTGCGCACGGTTTGTCCAAAGAGCCAGGCAATGTAACAGAGAACAGCACAGCAAAGTGATCCGAAATGCCAGTGTTGCAGATTTGTTTACACTTAATCCAAAGGACAGCACAATATCCAATGTATGTCCCTTCTCGTGTGAGGCCCCAACCACCCATTGAGTAAGATTAAAAGAATCAGCCATATTAAGAAAATCCTTAGCCAACTGGTTCGATTCACAGCACACATGGACATTCATATCCCCGGCTATTAAAAAGTGATCATAGCTAAGAGATAGTTCTGCTACAAAGTCTGTAAAATCCTCAATGAAAGTCTTATTAAATTTTGGAGGGCGATAGACTAAAGCGCACAGGACTGGAGCGTCGGCATTTAGAACAAATGTCTGTAATTCGAAGCTCGAAAATAAGTTTGTTTGCACTTGTCGACAATTAAAACTAGATCTAAAAAACTGATGCCAGCCCTCCGCCTCTGCCGGTGTTACGTGGGGAGTTTAAAAACGTACAATCCGGGGGTATGAGCTCGGAGAACAGAGTGCACTCACCGACGTGAAGCCAGGTTTCACACAGAAGAAATATATCCAACTGGCGTGATGTAAAGAAGTCGTTGAGGATGAACGTCTTGTTAGTGAGCGATCTAACATTAAGGAGGCCAAACCGGAGAGTCTGCTCTTCGTGGCCCGGTGCAGAACAGCGCTTCAGCTCCAGGAGGCATCCTAGATCCACTCCGCGGCTGCGCTTGCGGCGCCTGAGCAATGGCGCTTCCAGCGGCAGGTGACGCGGCGCGGCGTCCGGTTTGCTGGGGTCTAGGGGCTGAATCCACCGCAGACCCGGTACTCTGTGGGGCACCGGGTATCCATCATCTCGGCCATGAAGGTTGATCAAGTTATCAGACCTCCACTGTGCTCGGATTCTCACCAGTACTCCTCCTCGCTTTCCGCGTCTTCGAGGCCGCTTCCTCCTCCAGTTGACTGGTGTGCGCCACAGGTAAGCAGGCACTGGAGTTTTTGTCTTCAAATTCGTGTCTTCAAATTCGTGTTTTAACAGTGATGAGCAACTGATCTGATGTTAAACAGTGATGAGCAACTGATCTGATGTTAAACAGTGCTTGGCGATCATACATGAATAAAGCAGGGGGTCACTTGGCAGAAACCACAAAGCAAAACAATCATTAGCATTAAAAGAAGGAGACGAGGCAGACGGCTGGCCACACATCCTGGCGCCATCTTGAATCCCTTGTTTAGATCACCATGTTCACCATGGCCTCTTAATCATCCCTATATACTCATTGGCTTCATAACTCTGTCTCCTCTCCACCAATAAGCTCTCCACCACACCTGTGGTGGGCGTTCTAGCGCAGTATGGCTGCACATTGGTGGTGGTTGAGGAGATCCCCCCTTCTATGTAAAGCACTTTGAGTGCCGAGAAAAGCGCTATATAAATGTAATGAATTATTATTATTATTATTATTATTATTATTAATGATGTAGTCAGCCAGATACGGGCCATATCCAGATCAGATGGTAGACCTGCACTTCAACATGACCACAATGCATCCCTGAAGTGTCAGCAGAGATTGTGTCAACAAGATTCTCCCCTGTGAAGGCCTCATCGACACGAACGACAGCCATTGGCAATGATCCTTAACAAACCCGTCACCATACCAGCATGATGACTCCGATCTTCAACCAAATGGAACTGGATAAATATTCTGAATGTTCTGATCCAAGGTTTCTTCCAAGATCTTTTTTCTCCATTCTGTCACCTGATTTTGGTTCCTTGCCACTGTCGCCTTTGGCTTTTGGCTTGCTTAGTTGGGGACATTTAAAAGCCAGAGTAGGTAAGTTTGAGAAACTAGCTGAAAACTGCTGGATTTTGAAAGTATCCAACAGAGAAACTCCCACCCCCTCCCTTCTGGGCTCCTTCCAAAGCCACGCCCCCAAAACACATGAACGCGTGATGCCGACCGCTCAGCTGGTTTACCAGCGCCGAGCGGAGAGGAGCGCAGTGCATGGAGTGACATCACCTTTTTTTGCCTTGTTTGCCAGCGCTGACTGTATATGCAGGTACAGGTGGTACTGGGAATTTTGACTGCTCTTTCTCTGCCATAATTGTGAGACTTCCTAGCTTCCGGCCGGTACGTGCCTCTCCTCTTTCGAAACGAGCGATTCAACCGGGTGCGTGCATGTGGGCAGCTCCTGTAGCAGCAGGGATGGTCATGGTAGCGAGGGAGAGTGACAGTCGCCCAGCCAATCATTGCATTCGTTCTGAATGGAAAGAGTAGCTATGTTTATTGCAGCCCTGAGAGGACTACAGACACTCGATTTTTATACTCTCCTTTTCAGAGTACTTACATTTTAGATATGTATTGGTATATAAAGACAGTTTAAACAAAACGGAAGGCACTGGGACGGCGCGCTGAGAACAAGCACGGCCCGCCCCAAAATACCAATTGTCCAGCCTTGAGGGTTTGGGACATGATGGAGGGTTCCACTCGAGCCCAACTCTCTCAGCGGCCTGGGAAAGCATAGCGCCAATTCTGGATCAGGCTCAGGCAATGCTGCTCACCCAGAAGGAGGCAGCGCAGCCTAGTCTTCATCTCCAGATACAAGCCCGCCCTCCGATGCTGCAATCGACATCTGGTCAGCAGGGGGAGCTCCGAATAAAACGACTGGCCAGTCATGAGAGGAGCCAGTGCGATCAACCGGAGACTCCACGGCTTGCGGTGTTTGAGAGGAGTGAGGGGTCCACAGGGATTGGGTACCGGGCGGGGAAGCCCTCTCTGTGATCCTCAAGTCACCCTGGCTATTCATCGAAGTAGCTCTCTTTTGGGGTTGGCCAAAAGAGGAACTAGATCGAGGCATAGTTAAAGGGACCCCACCTCGTTTGAGGTATAGGAGTCAGAATTCCCAAACTGCTGAATGCCCAGACACGCGATGCAGTGTTCGTGACAGTCAGCTTGCGCCAGGGAACGACCACATCCAGAAACACACGGTAATATGACATCTTGAAAAAGACGCAGTCACACCTGTGTTTGCTCTTTCAGGAATTAGCTCTCTCAGTGCTGAAGCACACAGGTGAAATGGCCGCGGCGACACTGGCAGGGGATGGTGCTGCCCGCACAGTGAAGCACTCACTCAACTGATATTAAAACAGTGACCTCGTAGAAGACGGCCTCGAACCAACCAATGCTCTGAAAACAGCAGTTGAGAGCTGTGAGCTTGCGACCACCGCTGCACACGCCGTAACAACAACACTGCTGGAGAGGCTTCTTCACGAAGAACACTCGACACACTCGTTGACTGTATTCACCACTCTCAGAGAATGCATTCAAAATGATTTGTTCGGCTCCGAAGTGAAAGACAACTGCTTGCATCCGCTTCCTATTTCGCTGCGGAGCGCGAGATGCAAATCTGTCATTCCAATGTGCATTGGCTCGTTCTGTTTACACTCGAAGATGATTGGGGCTCCATGACGCGATCCCAATATTGGTACGTCTACGTACGCCGATTCTGACAGACTGAAAGGGAACTGGCTTTTCTTGAAATCGACTTTGGTATTGTTCATGATTGCAGTACACACAGTTAATTTTTACTCACAGGCAACTTATTCTCACTTGTCAAATAAGTGGCATTTAATGTGTTAAAGTGTTTACTCACCTGCTGGAATGTGGCTTCAATGAGATTGGAGGGGATCATATTCCTGAGGATACAAAATATGATGCTAATTCATTAATTCATTCACATTATGAATATTTAGTACATTCATGTTACGAACTACAGTACACACTGCAGATTTAAGCACCAGCTAGTGTGGCAGCCAAGACTAACAGCAGCTGTGTCCATGGGCAGAAGGGGGTGGGGGATGGGAGGGTCCTCCTCCTCTTACTTTGTACAGATTACTAAAAATATCCTAATCACCCCACTGCTTTAATAGGATTGCACTGTATGGGATGGCCTAGACTCCCCAGACATGGACAATTCTTTCCAATGAATTAAAATAACAGTGACTCATCAAAATGAGGAGCAATTTACCCCCAAAGCTTATCATTTTATCAATTAAAAAGCTAAAATTAAAGGGATAGTTCACCCCAAAATGAAAATCATTTCATCTCATGCCATTCCAAACCCGTGTGACTATTTTCTTCTGTGTAAAAACACCATAACAGTGGTACATGTGATTTGTGTGTTATATAAATAGCACAGTGATTTTATATGTATATTATAATATATTCTTCTGAAGCCATACGATAGACTTTGTGAAGAAAATACTGTCATAGTTGAATTTCAACACAACAAAACATTTAGACACAACACACAATTCATATGAACTCCTTTTATGATACTTTTATGGTGTCTTTGTGTAATTTTTTAAGCCTGGGTGTTCCAATTTCCATTGTTTGTAACTGCATGGAAAAACTTTCTCTTTCTGTGTCACATAGGAGAAAAAATAACCAACACAGGTTTGAAACGATATCTTTGGGTGATATCCCTTTAAGGTATTTTCCATTCCTGAAACAGAACACCTTCGAACCCACCAATAAGTCCAAACATTAACCATTAATTACCCCTAAAATCAGATGGAAATAGATTGAAAAGTTCGTCCAAGCCTCTAACCCCATTTCTGTTAGGACCACTAAAGTCAAATACGATTGACAATTAGCATACAGTTAGGATTGGCGGTATGGTTCTGTTCTGGGCAAGAACTTCCATGCAGCCTAGCATGGAGAAGAGCAGCAATAATCCCCCTTATGCCGAGTTCAGACTGCACGATTTTCAAAATAATCGGGTCACTGTTGTTTTCACACTGCATGACTATCTGGGGTAACATTCAGTTGCTGCTGTGTTCACACTGCACGATGGATCGGTGACGGGAGGTTTCACACTGCATGACTTTACAAAAGAAAGAATCGCCGACAACTTCTGCCTGGTCCGCAAACTACGTTTCACAACCAAACAAACGCGAGAAGTGATAGGAAATAATGAAAGATCACGCGTGCGTGAGACCAGAGTTCTCGCGCGACACTGAATTTGTTATTAAAAAAGATAGCCTACAAATTGTCTGTGCACTGATTTGTAGCAAAAAAAAAAAAAAAAAAAAAAAAAAAATAGTTTATGCAGGAAATGGTTGGGAAGACGAGGGGAGCAAGACTGTGTTTTGCAAAGAGAGTTGGGGGTAAATAAATAATTTTGCAAATGTCCTGCTGTTGCTGCTGGTCATGCAAATGTTTGTGTTTTGTTTCTGTTTGATATAATTGTAAATATAGGCCTATCTATTAAAATACTGATATTCTGGTCTATAACTCCTCCTCCTCCTATTCCCTTTATCTTGCTCTCTCATTGGCTGTCGGTCATCGCCGATGTAGTTTTCAGTCAGAACACATTCACACAGCAGGATTGTGAATCGCCGACAGGTCCAGATATTTAGCATGCCAAATATCTCACGGGCGTCGGCGACTCGTCGGCGATTCTCTCAGATCGCGTCTTTGCTCATTCACACTGCGTGATTGTCACTCGCGTGAACGAGCACCGATTTGCCTGTGATTTCGGGCATTTGTCGGCGATTTCTCAAAACATGTCGGCGAGCCAAAATCGGGGCTAAAATCGTGCAGTCTGAACTCGGCATTAGGGTAAACAGAACCAACATGAATGTATTGCAGATATCATTAATTAATTTGAATGTACAACATAATTTGAGAATTTTAGTCTGATTCAGGGGTAATCAGAATGCCAAATCCTGACTGACGAGAGGAGGAGCTGGGGATGGAGGAGGGTAATAAGCTCCTGAGAAACGTGATAGCTGCTGATAATACTGAAGGAGCTTATATATGTATACAGTGATAGGCGTCGTATTCCTATAGGTAGACGTGGATCTGCTGAGAGTCTGCTAATGCGAGCTTAACTAACGTGACCTGCCAGAACTGACGCTACGCTCAAAATCTAAGCCTACTCCTAAAATCTGCTTGGCTGATAGGAACGTTGGTCCAAGACCAACAAAGTTGTTGTTGCTACCTGACAAAATTTGTCATAGTCCATTCTGACTGTACCTGACCAGATCCAGCAGGGCATCTGCAGATGTTATGACCTGTCCACCTCCCAGTCTGTTGCTCTCCACATCTGTCCCATAGCCAGGTTTGATAATTAGAACAAGTACAATGCCAACAACTACAGCGATGAATGTGGTCCAAAGGTAGTAGGTGACCGTTAGCACCCCCATCCTGCAGCAGGCCTTTGACTCCATTGATGACAGTCCAGACATTAAACTACAGAGAGTAAGAGCTGATATGAGGATATGTTCACACATTCTTAATGTGTGACATTAAGAATTTTGTCTGATAGCTTTAAAATGTAATATGCAGATGTGAATAAATCCAACTCCACCTGGAGGTGATTAGGGGGAGAATCAACATTTTAAGTATCCGCATGAGCAGCTCACCAGGAAAGGAGAAATAGATTTTTGCCTGATTACAAAAACAGAGAAAGAGTTGTTCAGATGATATTCAGACTTTTAATCAGTAATGTGTGGGTGTGTATATATATATATATATATATATATATATATACACACACTGTATATACAGTCAAACCAAAAATTAATCAGACACCAGATATAATGTTTTATAATTTTTTTACTAGTGGGTGCAGGACACTATAGTTCATTTATGTAAGTGATGATAGCAAAATAAAGTAAACTGTGACATATTATACCAAAAAATTCTTCATAATACAGTGGACTACCAGTAAAATTTATAAAAATCTGGGACCAAACATTCTCATCCTCGCTGACATCCTGCTCTTCAGTGTACCACTCATCTAAGAGAAAAACAAGACCCAGATTGACCGTTACATCGACATTGTACGCACTCAAGTCAACACTACAATGGACAAGCTACAAGAGAAACTCCCAGGAGCCATGAAGCGCTGTATAGCAGAATGATCCTCTTCTCCGATCAGTTGTTGCTATGTTTATCATCCTTCTATCTCTGACACTTTGACCTGACCATGTTTTGCTTAAGAGTTTTTTCTTTAATTGCAAATGCGACCTTTTTACACCACAGACTGAACAAAATTAAGCATTGCTTGGTAATTGGTTGACCTAAATTGGTATTATCTAATTGTGTACTTAAATTTAACAGCTGACAGCTATTCAACCTGATTCATTTATGAGACAGTCTAAGAGAAGGATGGCTAAAACCAGTGAAATATCAACGGATTTGATAACTCTGAGTTCTTGTCATATTTCATTACCATTTTCTAAACTATAGTGAAAAAACTGTGATAATGTGAGAAATGTTGAAGGTGTCTAAATAAATTTTGGTTTGACTGTATATATATATATATATATATATATAAGATGAGCACTGCATTTGATAAGCATTGGTGAAACTTTAAATGTTTAAATTTACAATTTAAAAGAACTGTTTTCTATTTTTGTATATTTTAAAATGTAATTTGTTCCTGTGATGGCACAGCTGGAGTTTTAACAGCCACTATTCCAGTCTTCACTGTCACTTGATCGTTCAGAAATCATTCTAAAAGGCTGATTTGTTGCTCAAGATACATTTCTTATTATCAATGTTGAAAGCAGTATATATATATATATATATATATATATATATATATATATAATATATATATATATATATATATATATATATACATACACACACACACACACACACACACCTCTCCTCAACCTGCTGTCTGATTTGAGGTTACTTTTATGGCCACATGGTTAATTGCCACAATATAATACTTCTTATTGGAAGTATGAGTATGTTGTTGTCTCTGTCTGGGATTAGATCACTAAGCACAGATGTTCTTAAGTAGCCAAGTAATTCCTAACCTTTAAACCTACATGCCTCCATCCATCACAACAAAAATCAAAAACCGACAATATTGTTCAATATTTTTATCTGTTGGGTTATAATACCAAAAACAGAATGAAAATGGACAAAGATCTAATTGTGTCGTTTATGGACACGTGACCTAGATTTAGCATCCTATCGATTTATTTTAAAAACTCAGGTAATTTTTTTCAGTTAAAACCCATTGAGCCCATTTTGACAAAAAACAATACAATATATGAAGACAAAAAATGTGTATATATTTGACACCATTTTATTTGCTACAGACAAACATATGTTTTGTTCTGTAACAAAACAATATGGAAACATATGTTTCCAAGATGAGCCCTTCATCTGACAAGCATACTTGTCAAACATACTTTAAGTTCTACATACATTCTATAAACCTTAAAGACATTTTCTAAAACCATGACATTAAAGAAAGAATAAATAACTTAATAATGAAGGATGGAGAGACCAATTAAAAACACAACAGAATGTTTTCACCATTTCATAAATCTGATCAAAAGATAATAAAATATAGAAAAATTAATGTGTTGGAAGGATGTTTGACGTGTACCCAGGAGATCATGCATCACCAACAACTTTACGACTGCCATTTTTTTGTATAATTCTACCCTTGTGTGCATTTTCAGGGACATGTCCACAGTCATTAATTTCTCTAAAATCATAGTTTAATAAGCCTACCTGTGTGGAGAGGGCCAGGCCCCTCAGCATGAAGCCCAGGACGCATCCTGTGATTACAGCTAGTACCGAGAGCGTCAGCAACCCGTTTCGCCTGATGTAGTCCTTTACATACTTCCTGACACTGACTGAGAACATGCTGGCCATGCAGTCCTTTATTCTCTCCAGCGGGGTTTTAGCAGGTCCCGCCGGAGAGAAGAAGGTTGCAGGCTCGGGCGGCGCCTCCTCGACATCTGCGGGTATCAGTAGCTCCTCCATGGCGAGACGCTGTGAGTAACGCAGGAGGGAAAAGCAGAGGTAACCTTTTCTAACGAGGGATTAAGCCATCATGCATCCATCCAGCATCTCAAGACCACGGTTGGGAGGAATTAGGAGGCTAAGAGGATTAGGATGTAGTAATAAAATCTAACACTTCCCTGTTGACAGTGGCTCTGTGCCATTTAGATTTTTGTCATGAAGTGATGTCAAACAACCCCCATTTTGTGTTTATTTATACTGTAGTAGAAGAGGGATCAGAAAGTAGTGCATTGTGTTGTTCGCAAACCTAATCCATATAGTGAGGCGAGGTAAATGATCTCTCTCTCTCTAAAGCCACAGGGAAAGTCAGCACGTGCCTCCACCTGATCTCGTTACAGATGAGAGTGTCCATTACGAAAATAAATTAGTTTTTCCCTGGAGAATAGACTGACATAGGTAAATGAAGTTCCAAAGTCTTGAAGTTCAGTAGCCTACTCTTGATATAGTCTGTCTTGTTGTGGTTTAACAGGATTTTCAAGGTATAACTCGACAGACCTGACCAATGGCCATCAACGCTGTGATTTATTGATAGAGCTGGATCTCAGCCCCTAGTCTTTTTTCTCAAAAAAATCTCAACATTTACAAAAACATCTCGGGTTACGACTGTAACAGGAACGAGACGCTGCGTTGAGAATCGACACATTGGGGAACGCCTTCAGCGTGACGCGTCTGAAGCCTGTATGGAACTAGTCCAATCTTGATTGGTGTTGCGTCATGACGTTAGCCGTGACGTCGCATGTGATGGTGAGCGGAAGCTATAAAAGGACACCGGAACATAGCAGGGTCAGCTTCTGATTGTTCGAAGCAAGTCGTTCTCAGGAGCGCAAAAAGTGTGGCCGAGGGACGCAGCGTCTCGTTCCCTTCTCAGGGAACGAGGGTTACAGTCGTAACCCGAGACATTCCCTTTCAAGGGAACTCGCGCTGCGTAGAGAATCGACACATCGGGGAACGAAATGCCCACTGCGCCACACTGAGAGAATACGCCCTGGTGTGAAGCAAACTGGCACACTCAAGACGAGAGAACCTGTGAACCTGGTGTAGAGGGCATATACAGACTGTAGTGTTTTATAAAAGTGTGAGGGGAGGCCCAGCCTGCGGCATCACAGACCTCTTGAAGGGAAACTCCTGCTAGCAGGGCTTTAGAGGAAGCCACTCCTCTAGTAGAGTGGGCTCTTAACGCAAGAGGTGAAGGCAAATCGCGCACCTCGTAAGCTGAAGAAATTGTTTCCACTATCCATCTGCTTATAGTTTGTTTTGAAACAGGTAAACCCCACTTTGGAGACCCAAAGCACACGAGTAGTTGGTCCGACTTCCTCCAGCCCGAGGTTCTTTGCACATAGACCTCCAGGGCTCGGATCGGGCAAAGTAAATGTAATCTAGCTTGCTCATCCGACACATGCGGTGGAGGATGGAGGGCCTGGAGAATTATAGATCGTGCCACATTTGACGGCACTTTAGGCACATAGCCAGGTCTAGGGTGGAGAATGGCCTTTACTTTGCCGGGAGCGAACTTAAGGCAGGAAGGAGCGACAGATAAAGCCTGCAGGTCCCCGACTCTTTTTAGGGACGTGATGGCGAGTAGGAACGCTACCTTGAAAGACATAAATTTCTCAGTCACCTCATCCAGAGGTTCGAAGGGTGCCAGGGATAACCCCTCAAGAACCACTGCCAGGTCCCACGTGGGGACCCTGGACTGGATGACAGGCCTCATCCTCCTAGCTCCACGAAGAAAACGTACTATAAGTGGGTGTCTCCCTAAGGTGCCCACCCCTAAAGGCGTGTGGAAGGCAGCTACGGCCGCCACATAGACCTTAAGCGTGGACAAGGAGAGCCCGTCAGAGAAGCGACTCTGGAGGAACTCCAGCACTGAAGCCACTGGGCAGTTAACTGGGTCCACCTGATGTTCTCTGCACCATAAAGTGAATACGTTCCATTTTAATGCATACAGTTTCCTCGTGGAGGGGGCTCTAGAGTTTAGAATGGTCTCGACAACCTCAGTTGAGAGACCGGCATTTACGAGTTGGTCCCCCTCAGGGGCCAGACCCACAGCTTCCATAGCTCTGGACGAGGGTGAAATATTGTGCCCTCGGCCTGAGAAAGAAGGTCCCTCCTGATCGGAATTTGCCACGGAGGGCCTGCTAGAAGAACCATGATGTCAGATAACCACACTCGGGCCGGCCAGTACGGGGCTACTAAGAGTAAGCTGATCCCGTACCGCCGGACCCTCTCTAGAACCCCTGGGAGCAGAGCGATCGGGGGAAATGCGTACAGACGTAGCCTCGGCCACATCTGCACCATAGTGAGGGAGGGAGTACCAGAGCGGACAGTGAGAGTTCTCTTGAGAGGCAAACAGATCCACTTCCGCCTGACCAAACTCCCTCCATATTAACTCCACCGCCTCCATTCCCCGGGCCTCAGCCCCTGCCTCGACAGGATGTCTGCTCCCACATTGCTGTCCCCAGGGATAAACATGGCTCTGACTGAAAGAAGTTTTCCCTTGGACCACAGGAGAACCTGATGCGCCAGTCTGCACAGAGGGAGCGATCTCAGGCCCCCCTGCCGATTTATATTTGAGACCACCGACGTATTGTCTGTTCGCACTAGAACACGATGGCCTCTGAGGTCCGGAAGGAAATGTCTGAGGGCCAGAAACACTGCCATCATCTCCAGGCAATTGATGTGCCATGAAAGATGATGGTCCCTCCAAATACCCCTGGTGTAGCGGCCTTCCATAACCGCACCCCAGCCTGTGAGGGATGCATCCGTGGTTAGAATTTTCCTCTGACACGGGGAAAACCCTCTGGTCCTGAGCCACCACTGCAGGGCCCTCATGTACAGCAGGCCAAAAGGGATCACGTTGGATGCTGCTGCCATAAGGCCCAGAACCCTTTGGAAGTGTTTGACAGTGATGGCCTGGCCTTGCTTGAGACTCGTTACTGTGGTCAAGATGGTGTGTACACAAGCGGGAGACAACTTTGCCCGCATCGTGACTGAATCCCACACTACCCCCAGGAAAGTAGTTCTCTGTAGAGGAATTAATGAACTTTTCTTGACATTGAGTCTTAACCCTAAGCACCTTAGATGGTTCAGAACAACATCTCGATGTTGAACCGCCATCTCTACTGACTGTACCAAAATGAGCCAGTCGTCGATGTAATTGAGGATGCGAATGCCTTGAAGTCTTAATGGAGCAAGGGCAGCATCCATACATTTCGTGAAGGTGCGAGGAGACAGTGCTAGGCCAAATGGAAGAACCCTGTATTGATACGCTTTTCCCCCGAAAGCCAATCTTAGGAACTTCCTGTGTTGGGGAAGGATGGAAATATGGAAGTAAGCATCTTTCAGATCTATCGTGACAAACCAGTCCTCGGACCTGATTTGACTTACGATAAGAGGTATAGTTAGCATCTTGAACCTGTATCTCCTCAGAGACCGGTTCAATACCCTGAGATCTATTATAGGTCGTCATCCTTCTTGGGAACTATGAAGTACCGGCTGTAGAACCCGGCTTCCCTTTCTTGAGCTCTATGGCCTCCTTTGCCAAGAGGGACTGAACTTCTTGCTCCATAACCTGACCCTGCTCTGGAGTGACCAGTGTGTGAACCACCCCGCTGAATCGTGGTGGACGATACTCGAACTGAATTCTGTACCCCTTTTCCACTGTGCGCAGGACCCACTGAGATATATTTTGAAGACCTTTCCAGGTGTCTAGATAATCTACTAGGGGAATCAGTCTCTCGAGACTGACCTCGGGTGTTGTATTTGAGATATCGTGACCTGAAGCATTTGATTGGCAGGATCTAACCGAATTAATTTTTCTACAGGCCTCGTGAGAGGGAACGCACTCGACAGGGCCGCAACATTTTCGGGCGGACACTGCGTTTTTTGTTCGCTGAAAACCGATGTGTCCCGAAGCGCACTTAGCGGCGGGAAGCACACATCGATTTCCTGAGGGCTCCGTGAAGGAGCGAGCTGTTGTTGCTCGATCATGGAGGGGACCACCCTCAGAGGCCTGCGCAACGCGACCTCTACGTTGAAGCCTTCCTTGCCTGAATGACAGTCCTCAGATCTGCCTTCGGTTTGGAGGACTTCGAGTGAGAGTGTTGCCCCTGGCTCCAGGCCTTTTTCGGGGAGCGCGAGAAGCAACACTCTCTTTCTGCTGCTGCAGGTGTGAGGAGCTGGCCCTCATGGGACTGCCCCCTGGCAGCAGACCCATGAGACTTGGAACGACGGCGGGGAATGAGCTGTTTTAGTGCGTTTCGACTCCTGAAACCTCTCGACGACAGTATTGACTGCGTCGCCGAAGAGGCCAGAAGACGAAATCGGGGCATCGAGGAGGAAGGCCCTGTCCTTGTCCCCGATGCCCGACAGATTCAGCCACAGGTGTCTCTCCGTGGCTACCAATGCTGCCATAGAGCGGCCAATGGCGCGGGCCGTCTCTTGGTAGCACGGAGAGACAAGTCGACCGTTCGACGCATCTCACGAATATCGTCGAAGGCGACCTCCCCGCTGTCGTCCACCTCTTTGAGGAGGTCGGCCTGGTATGCCTGCAGAAGCCCCATTGTGTGCAGGCATGCACCAGCCCAACCTGCCGCCATATATGCATTCCCAACCAGCGCCGAAGTGGTACGGCAGGGCTTGGAGGGAAGCGCCGGAGCTCTTAGGGACGATGCAGCATCGGGCGAGAGATGAGATGCAAATGTCTCTTCGACCCGAGGCATCGTCCCATAGCCCTTCTCTTTCGACCCCATTATTGCTGAATATATGTGTACATTGGGGCTAGATAATCGAGAAGAGAAGGGCTTGTTCCACGATCTCGACACCTCAGTGTGGAGATCAGTGAAAAACGGGAGACTCCGGCGCGAAGGTTGTGGCCGGGCTTGCAGGAAGCGCACATCCAGCATACTTTTTCTTGCCACTTCCTGCTTTTCTGGGGGCCAATCGATCTTTAATTTACCCACAGCCCGGGTCACAACCTCCAGCAGCTCCTCAAAGGCAGGAGAAT